TCTTACAAAATTTATAATTATGATTTAATAAATTACACATTTAATAAACTCAACAGAAATTTGTTTTTCATATAGCTATATATTTATTGCTGTTTTTTTTTTTTTTTTTTTTTTTTTCATAGCCCTTTAGAATAATTGTCAATTGTAATTATCTAGTAACATATTATTTATTTTATTCTTACAATAATTATAATTTAGTAAACTGTACAAATTGTCGTTTTTTTTATGCCAATAGCAATCTAATAAAAATAAAAGTATTATTTAACTCTTACAAGAATTATAATTATAATTGAATAAATAAAAAATTTAAAATGAGTAGCAATCGCAATTACAATTATCTAGTAATACCTTTATTTAAATCTTACAATAAATATAATTTAATAAAGTCTTAACATATTTTGTTGTTTCATTAAATATATATCTGATGTCTTATGGAACTCCATGCTTATTGCTGTCCTTTTTCTTCCAGTCCTTTAGAATGAGTGCCAATTGCGATTATCTAATAACATCTTTATTTAATCCTTACAATAGTTATAATTTAATAAACTCTAAAAATTTTCGTTTGTTTCCTTAAATATATATATCTGGTGCATATATCTCACGGAACTCCATGTTTATTGCAGTACTTTTTTCTCAAAACCCTTTCAGCTTCCTGATAAAAGTCTTTGTTACGATTGAGCTCCATGGAAAAGTCCGATTTCTTCACCACTATCATATTCGTGAGATATGCCCGCCTCTCAGCGCTTCGCGTCATGTCGACAAGCCTATCCCGCTTGCGTTGCTTGTGCGTCGAGCTCGTTGGCGTTGCAGTGGGCGTTACGGTGGACGTGACGGTGGGAGTGGGCGTGGGCGTCTTTTGTTTTACTATAAAGTGTTTGGCATTCTCGAGGAAATGCTCAGCTTCCCGCAAGCGCTTGCATTGCTTTTCGCGCTTCTCGCGCGACCTTCTCGGCAGACTCCTGTCCAGTTGATCGAGTTTCGTATAGATATTGTGCAAGTCTAGAAATATTTCCGCTAGATCATTACCCATTACCTTGGAGTGGTGTATGTAGGAGTTGTAGGCTTCCTTCATCTCCCGCACCTCCAGGGTCAGGCGCTCGAGCGCATTCAAGTCGTAGAGCACCTTGGGCACCGCAAACCTAATTATATTATCCACATCCTCAAAGCGGCACATATCCTGCATCTGTAGCAGTGTCTTCCGGACGATGCGTTCCACCTCTGCCTCTTTCATATCGCCGGAGCGCGGATGCACTGGGTCCATAACACTGAGCAGACCTTTATTTTGCCTGGCCATCCCTTCCTGCAGCAGCAACTGTGTTCGGTCTACCCCATAGCAGGAATTCAACGAGGAATGCCTTTTCATTTTCAGAAATAATTATTGATTTGAATTTTTTGTTGGCTTTTCTATAAATATACACGAGAATTTTGAATCTTTATATTTTAGTTCTAATTCATATCTGTCAGAACTATGCCTTTTTCTACATCTGCAGTATGTGTTGTGTACTTGGGAAAAGGTTACTAATATATGTTGTAGCTCTTTACAATCTGAGACGATGAAGGATGAATCAATAATTCTGACTGTCAAAAATTAAGATTTTTCTATTGTTCAAAAATTTAATAACAAATGTTTACTAAATTTTGTATAGTTATAATTGAGATATTTTCGAATTTGTATGTTATTATATATGCGTAATAAATTTAATATGTTTTAGATGTTCTAATTGTTTATTATTATATTTTTAAAAAAATTGTCATAGTTATTTGAGTTATATATTATTATAAAATCTCAAATTATACATTCCAAATAAATATAGATAAATTAATTTTTATCATTATTAATCAAAAATTCTATTATTTTTATTATGCAATGTATTGGTACCCTTATGAACCAAAGCCATTTCGTTATATGATATTTTAAATTTTGAACATATTTTCGTTGGCTCCCCTGCCTTATGGAGTTTGATGATTGTCTTTACTACGCGAAAATTGTATATACCATGACTTGTACAATAGATACGCTGTCATTTTAGGTGCTAGACGATTCCAATTGTAAATATGTCGCACAAAAATATATGTCGAAGGGTATAAAAATAAAAAAATAAAAAAATTAATAAATTCACGGCTCACTTCAGGTACGTGCTTGAGGTTGACAAGAAATAAATGTGTTGTTTTTCGACCCTAAAGGACTCTAACCTTCCATCTTTATTATCTACAATTAATATTAAAATTCACACATTTTTAGCCACGGCATACTTTCCAAGCAATAAAAAAAAATTTGAATAAAATTATGAAAAAATTATGTTTGCTTTCCCAAGAGTAATTAAAGTGTTTCCACTCGACTTGAATGCAGCTTGTGCCCGTGGCGAAAATATATGTATTTCTATAATTATGAAGTTCATAAAAATCGCACACGCTGCGCTCTTTATTAACGACAGACTTTATTGCACAGACATAGCTGAAATTCCCAGGAAACGGAAAATATATTTGTCGCTTGCATATATTTCCACTATTTTTTCTCCTTTTCGTTTTTTTTTTTTTTTTTTTGCATTTGGCAATGCCGTCTAAAGGAATTTTGCGTATTTGCTATGGCCACGAGCGCTAAATCAATTGACAGCGCGGAGAACTGCGCACTATTTCCTGCCAGCTCAATGCCATAGCTCGAACATATTTCGTAGAATTTTTATGAGCCATGCAAAAAAAAAAAAAAAAAAAATGAAATGAAAAAACAAAAATAAAACAAATCAAATGCCTACGCACAGCTCTGTTGGTTTGCATGTGTGTGTGTGTGTGTGTGCGTGTGCGTGTGAGCAAGGGCTGCTGGTTTGACTGTCAGCTGGGCAATGGTCATGCCGATGTTCATGGCATTCTGGGCGACGCTGTGCGCTGTCAACAATCACGAACCAATTGTCTATAAATACCAGGAACGTTAAGGCAAACTCAGTCACAGCGCACAGAGCACAGCGCCCCAGTCCGGGCTCAGCTCGAATCCCCCGCAGACTACGCACAGAACTCTGCTCATGGTCATGCCTGGCGCACGCTCTGGGTGTGCGTTTGGGCATGTACATAGTAGTATGCCATATTCTGGGTATACTCTGGGTGCCCCATTGCAACTTCCGCTCTGTCGTTTTTCATTACATCGCATGTAACTTCCGGTTTGTTAAAGCGACACGCACTGCGACTCCCACAATTGTCCCCCTCGGCGCACCCCTCTCTCCCACTCTGGGTCTCCCACTCTGCTCGTTGTTATGGCGCTGACATCCGTGCAAACAAACGAACCATCGAACGTACGTAGCGAGCGCCACTAGGCAGGCACTCAGACTCGAGTTGTCCCTATGCTCCGCTCAGGCAACGCCTCCCACCCCCCGCCGAAACCACGACCGCTCCTGTTTGTCCGCACGTTTAGACTGGAAATGACAAATTCACTGTAGGTGGGCTCTATTGCTCTTGGTCTCTTGGCCGTCGCCGTCGCCGTCGCCGTCGCTGTCACCGTCGCCGTCTCGCTTAACTCCTCCAACACGTTTGCGACTCAGCAAACACCATCATCAATTTCCGTGGGGAAATCACACAAAATTTTTAGCACAAACAAAATGTTTGCTTTTGCTGCCAGCCAGCAGCCAAACCGATTTTTGCATGCCACACTCTCTGTGCCATATCTCGGCTTATCTGACCAAATCGGTTAACGGGAGTGAGAGCTCGGTGCACTTCCTGCCTTTTATTTCTATTTCTGTTCTTTTTTTTTTTTTTTTTCCTTTTTTTGCCTGCCAAAAGCTAAAAGAATTAGTAAATACTCGCAGAGCGTTGAGTGTTGCATGGACATGCAATCGCTATTTGATGTGACGGCTCGAGGGTTTTTGCAACTGATTTCAAGTTGACCGACAGCCTTTTTTTCTGGTGAGAGGATTGAACAGAAAGGTTCATACTTTAACTGGAATATTCCATAGTTTTTAGTTATTCGAAAGTGATAGCAAGTGGATCTACATATAATATATATAAATAAGTTCCAAAATTGTAATGAAAGCCAAAAGTTTGAGATGTGAAAGCTTCAAGTTTTTGTCACTTTTCGCTTTGTTATAAACATGGTCAATGTATTGCTAAGAAGATAAAATAAAGAAAATTAGGCTCGGAGTCATGTTACCTTGCATTCCTGCTGTCATTAGATTCAGGCCATAGTAGTTGTTTCTATATTCAAAAGAAGTATTATTAATATCGGAAAACCTAATGAAGAATATAATAGATATATTTAGATATAGATATA